CCAAGAGGCCACAGGAAACAGAAGCAGAAGCTGAAGAGACAAGGGACACAAGAAGCCGAGCTGCTTCAGTCTCAAAAAGTATGGCCATGACCTCATGGGTTTCAAAGGGTGGAGCCATGGCATCTGGTGTTTCTAAGGGTGGAGTTGTCACTCCGATGGACTAGGAGAATGGTGCACCTAAAGCCAAGGGAGCAGAGTTGCTGTTCCAGTGGGCCTGGAAGGTGGAGCTGAAGCCCAGGGCCAGGGGCCTCCACTCAAAATCCAGAGACTGTGGGCAATACCTAGAGTCTGGAGGGCAGGGCTATTGTGTAAATTGTCTCAGAGAACAGAGGATTATTTTCAAAGCCTTGAGGGCTAATGTAATGTGTTCTGCTGACTTGCTTGGTGCCTGTTATCACTTCTTTCCCTCTAGTTTCTCCCATTTGTAATGGAAATGTCTAGCTTGTGCCTGTTCTGCCATTGTACCTTTGGAAGCAAATAACTTGTATTCTAGATTTCACAGATGAAGAGGAATTTTTGGATTTTGGACTTGGGAGTTAAGACTTTTGCTATGATATGATGGGGTGAATATGTTTTCCATGTTGCAAGGATGTGATTTTTGGGGGGCCAAAGGGTAGAATGTCATGGTTTGAATTATGTCTCCCAAAAAATGTGTGTATCAATTTGGCTAGGCCGTGATTCCTGGTACTGTGTGATTTTCCTGTATGTTGCAAACCTGCCTCTCTGATGTTAATGAGGGAGGATGGGTGGCAGTTGTATTAGTAAGGCAGGACCTGATCTATAAGACTGGACTGTGTCCTGAGGCAATCTCTTGAGATATAAAAGACAGAAGTGAGCAGTGAGACAGGGGGACCTCATACCATCAAGAAAGCAGTGCCGGGAGCAGAGCGCGTCCTTTGGACCAGGGTTCCTGCGCCGAGAAACTCCTAGTCCAGGGGAACACTGATGAGAAGGCCAACAGAGAGAGAAAGACTTCCCCTGGAGCTGATGCCCTGAATTTGGACTTTTAGCCTACTCTGACTGTGAGGAAATAAACTTCTCTTCGTTCAAACGAAAAAAAAAAAAATACATAAGCACAGGCAAGTGTTTCCTGCATTAGTATAACACGTAAGGACACTCAAACTCTGGAATACACGTCATTAAGGATAAAGAGTTGAGTAATTTCATACACTTTAAAACAAATCCTTACAGACCAGGGAAATTCCTGTCCTTTTATACTACAATCACATGGTTTCATTATTCATTAGTCCTAAATGCAATTTAGGCTGCACACATAGCAAACATTGTCTGCCAACTGAGTAATAAACCAGAACTACTTGCCTGCTTTTCATAGAAAGGGGAACTTCATTAAATGAGTAAATGTTAACCCTAAGTAAACAAGGGGACTGGGGTGGGATAAAGGGAAGGGGTAAGTGAGGAACTATTTTTTTTTAATCTGTTCAGTTTTTGAAATGCACTTCTAACGTGTTTCAGACTCAAAGACATTATAATTTAGAATTATCATCCTTGATTTCAAATCAAAACATGAAAGGAATTCTTAAAATTCATTAATCATTATCCATGATGTTTAAGTGTTGCTGTTGTATATACTTCTAAATCTACCTATATACACCTGTGTGGTAAATGTTTTTTATATTAAAAGACCAGGACTATCTCTAAATTTAAAATATAAGCTCCATGAGGGAGGGATCTTTGAATATTTTGTTCACCGATGTCTCCCAAGCACCGAGAATAGTGCCCAGCAGAGAGCAGGCACTCATTTAATACTTGCTGAATACTGTTCAAGATGGTCCAAATACTTAATATGTCATTATCCTGGTGGTGTAGTGGTTAAGAGTTCAGCTGCTAACCAAAAGGTCGGAAGTTCGAATCTACCAGGCGCTCCTTGGGAACCCTATAGAGCAGTTCTACTCTTTCCTATAGGGTCACTATGAGTCAGAATCAACTCGACGGCAACAGGTTTTTTCCTACACAATGAGCTGCAGATGCTCCAAAACCATGAAGTAGAAGTATGGGTTCATCTTGAACTGATTACTGCCTAAGCCCTCACACACAGGTTTTCACAAATCAAGAACTGATAACTATATCCAAAAGCAAACTAACAATGCATATAAGAATAAAATAAAGCTTTTCACATGGGGGTCACTTAGGTTTTGAACCTTAAAAGATTGCCAAGAAGCTGGCAAAAAATAAAAATGTCTCCTGAGCAACTAAAATTTTCAACAAGTGCAAACTCTTGCAATTTTTTCATACACAATCCAATTCCAAAAGACATATGGGGCTTCAACAAAATAAAAAACTTATAAGGATTTCATTTAAACACAGTGCATTTATTACAAAATTTTTATTTCCAGTATTATAAAGCAGGTCTGACCTTTCTTTTACCAATTGCCCTAACTATGCCAAACTCTGAATATTCCTAAAATTGCTAATTCTATTCTCACTTCCCGCTCATAAAAGTACAATATATTTATGAAACTAGTATTTTTAGTTTTCCCTATTAAAAGCAATCATGAGCATTTCACTGTTAGTCAGGCTATCTGTATTTCAGCCCTTGTTTATCTGTCACTAATTCATCATGGCCTTTAGCTGGTAACTCTCTGTTCTGGGCCTCAGTTTCCTCTATGATAGAATGAGGGACCTGAATTAGAACAATGGTTCTCAACCTTTTTTTGCAACCCTTTGAGATTGTAGTGAAAGCTAAAGATGACCTTCTCTTCATAAAAATGCACATACACACTTACATAATGATTGTACAATTACATATAATAGCAAAAGAATGGAAACAACCTAAATGTCCACCAACAGATGGTTAAGTAAATTATATTACATCCATTCAATATTTCATGCGACTGTAAGAAAAACAAAAAAAAACCTTTCTATGTACTGACATGGAAAAATTTCCGTCATGTACTGTTAAACAAATAAAGTTACAGAAGACTGTGTATAATCTGCAAAGTACTGTATAAAATGGTCAAAAATAAAATAACTATACTTGAATTTTCATGTATATGCATAAAGAAACTGTGGAAGAATAAACAAGAATCTTTCATGGGAACGGGAAAGGAGGGGTGGAGTGGGAGGGAACCTTTTCATTGTATACTTTTTTATATTTTAGTTTGAATCATGTAAATATATTAGCTATTAAAATATACTGAATATAACTTCAAGAGATTTAGACAACTTGCTGAAGCCCAGGGGGTCCATAGAACCGCAGTTTAAAAAAAGAAAAAAACCTAGAAGATAGTTCCCAAGCCCTGCTCAGCAATATTCTTCTATGTTTTGACTTAATACATATGTAATTGTACATACTCAACCATCCAACAGTAATAACATTTAAAGAAAAATATTTTTCATTATGATCCTTATATACACATATAACATAATTGTTGGTGGATACTAAGTGAACTTGATAGACCCTAATCTGGAATCTCATTTTGGGTAATTTTCCTTAATCACTGATATACTTAATCTATGACAAAAATTTCTATAAGGGAAAGAAGTTTGCAGAAATCATCAAGACATATTCCCTTCTCATGGCCCAAATTTCAGACCTGTTATTTCACAAGGAATTCCAAACTTAAGAAATAAAAATATAAATTTCTATCCTATTTGACCAAATAATCAATAGTACTAATAAGGAGATCAGAGAAGCGTTTGGTCTTATGCTTTGGCCATCATCTCAGAATTTGAAGCAAATTAAACAGCATTTGAGATCATCACACAGCATCCACAAACTAAGCAACGTCTAAGAAGGCCTTCTTCCTCACAATCCCAGAAATAAAAGCAAGGTATTCTAGGATGCTGGCAGGTATCCCTGACTGCTTAAATCAAAAGACTGCATTCTGGAACCTATAGTTTCTAGGGGCTGCACTTTCGTATATAAGCAATGTCTCCCTTTCCCTACTGAAAATAACACATGGCAGACTTCCCAGCATAAACGGTGCAAATATCTGGATTTTCCTGATTTATGTTTCTTGAAAATCTCCTTCTCGGTAAGACTGTTTTTATCAAACAGATCTGTAGATGCTGTTGACTGTGTATACAGCACTGTATCCCAAGAGTCCTAACTTATAACGGTTATGTTCTGTCTTTTAAACAGGGCACTTTCTATCTCAAAACTCAGCCTAAAAGTCCAAAAAGTGGCAGGCTCTGGGCGGTTGGAAAGGGAAAGAAGTTGAAGGCAAGAGTCCTGCGACAGACTTTTATTAAATTACCAGCATGCTAATAGGAAACCCACACTGCCATGGAGAGAAGCAGCCCAGCCAGTCAACCATCCTTCCTTTCCAAAAGTTTTAAACCCCATCCAGTTTTTCTGTCAGGCTCTAACAGAGTTAGTTTATTAATGGTAATAATATTATCAATATAAACAGCTGTCATTTATTGTTTTCTTACCATGTGACAGGCTTTGTGCTAAGCATGCATTTTTCAAGATTTTATAAGAAAAAAACTGCATACATGAACTCCTTCTCCCAACCCACTCTACTTTCAAGTCTGAAAAGCCCCATTCACATCCTCAAATTCAACCTGTCCCCTAACTATATTGAGAACTCCGGACACTCCACTCCCCTACTCATTGACCCATTCAGGCCCCGGAGCCACATCTTTCCCAGCAATAAGACCTCAAGCTCTTCACTCAAAACTAAAACCAAGCACGTCTCTGATCCTCTAGGGCCCCTGCAAAGTTCAATACCCTCCTCCCTCTACACACCAATTCCAACCTGCTCCTAACACGTTCCAGGATTCTAAGGCCCACTCCAAACTTCTGACTTACGAAAGGCGCGGGATTCCCTCACTGCCCCTCCAAATCCAACGTGCCCGTACTGCATTCCGAAAGTTCAAAATTCAGAAACACACTGCACCAGTGCAGAGCCCGGGTTCCAACCCCACGAGAACTCTCCACACCCGCTCGAGTAAGGCCTGGGACGCTCCACCCCCTAAACAGGCCGGGGCGCGCTCGGCCTCGTTCCGGACCCCAAGAGGAGGAGGGGAAACTCCACCTGGCTCCGCGGGCGCGGCGCGCGGCTCCTGCTCTGGCCCGGGCTCCACAACGGCCGCGCCCCCGTCCCGGCGCGGGCGGCAGCGCTCCGGCTGGCCGCGGCGGATGCGCTCGCCCAGCACCTCCACATCTGCCTGGCTGTCGTCGCGAGCCCGACGGCGGGCCCAACCTGGGCCGCGGACGCGACAGCGCGGGCAACCAGGGCCCGCCGCGTCGGCGGCGCGTTGAGCGCAGCCTTCACACAGCGAATGGCCGCACGGCAAGGCCGCCGATTCCCCCGGCGTCTCCAGGCACCCGGCGCAGCCCGCTTCCTCCGACTTCGGAGGTAGCGACGGTTGCAGCAACGGCGGTGGAAACACCAACAGCGCGGGACCAGAGGCTGGGCCTGGGACCCCAGTCTTTGCTGCCGCCATCTCGTCACAGCGGCCCCGCCGACTCCGCCGACTCAGAGCCGCCGTTGCTGCTGCGGAAGAGGCCCGAGTACTTGGGCCTGCCGCCGCCATCTTGTTTCCCGTTTGAAGGGAGAGCCGTTGCGAGGGAGAAGAGTAGAGGGCGGGGCCCTGGGCGGCTTGCAGCGTATCTGCATATTCATGAGGGGGTGGGACTCCAGTGAGCGCCGGGAAGATTATCCCCGGACCTGGTTGGCAGGAGGTGCCACTTGGTTGGTATTTATTAATTATCCGTTATACATCCGGTCTTCAGCCTCACTCAGCTGAGTCTTTGCAGCTTCCTCTTACAGAACCAAATGAGGGTGAGACCTGAAGAGATTTATTTGTAAATGCTGAGCGATATTAAACTTTAATTATGAGTTATACTTATTTAATCTCGCAGTACCCTCATAACTGAGGTTAAAGTGAGTGAATTATCCAGAAACCTGTTTTGTGGTGCGCGCCTGTACCCTGGGATGAAATGATCTCTTAAAGATTAGGGTAGCTGTTATGACCGGCATCCTCCAATCAGTAACTAACTGCCAAAAGTAACAGCCTCCTGTCAGTCGTCATGTCCTCGTCCTTCCTTTCCACACTTCTTCCTGAAATTCCCCTCCCTTGGTTGGCAAAACCATGCCTTCCTTGCTTTTTTTTTTTTTTCTTTTCCCAGCCTCTCAGCTCTTTCTCAGACTCCTTTCTTGAATCGTACTCCTTGTTTTGTGCTTAAGTGTGGTGTTCTCTAGGTTCAGGCCTCAGTTCTCTCACTCTGCATGCTCCCCCTGTGCATTTCACATTTTCTTCGGTCTGAAACTCACAAGTTATTATCTGTAGGCCAGACTTCATGAGTCCAGTCCAGCACATTCCATTGCCTGATGGAACGGATGTCTGCAAGTCTCATGTACAAAACTAAAGTCACTGTCTTCCACTCTCCTTTCAAAACAGCTCTTCTTCCCATTCCCTAATTCTATTCCATCTTCCCAGTCCCTCAAGCTCCAAACCTAATCATCTTTAACTTCGCCCTCATCTCCCACATCCTGTCAGCTACTTAGTCTTGTCAATTCTCCCACCAAAATATCTATTTTCCCACCTATCCTCTCCTCATCCCATTCCCACTGTATAATTCAGGTTTCATCATTTCTCACCTAGATTATTGCAGCAACATATATATGGTCTCCCTACCCACAGCTTCCTCTCATCCATCCTCCACAATTCTTAGAGTTGCTTCCTAAAGGACAGCTCTGACAATGTCATTCCTGTTTGGGCTAGGGTGAGGTACTCAGATTTTGATGCCAGCCACCTTTCTGGATGTAAAAGGTTTGGGAGAAAGAAGGGCTCCCCTCTGGCGGAGAGATGGCTGTACTGTAGTAATTATCCCACCCTTTGCTTTCTTTGCACTAAGGTAGATTTGAAGCAGAAAGACATTAAACAAATGACATTTCCTGCTGGGAATCTTTATAAGAAAGCACAGGTTTTGTAAGGAGAGCAAAATCTAGACAGCAACATAATGTAGTGGAAGGCATCAGAGGCCCTGGTTTGGATGAGATGGCCCAGAAACAGTGCCTGAGCTGGTGGTAAACCAATCCAAGGCAGAGTGATTGGTCAATGTTAGCAGAACAAAGAGATAGATTCCCAGGTTGAGGACCAGATCACTAGAGGACGGTCAAGATGAAGTAGGGTCAATGAGTAAGTGAAACAAGGGTATGCACAGAGGCCCAGACTGTCAGGATCCTGCCAGACACAGAAGTATGACATCAGCTGTCCTTTATCCATGGGTCCTTCTCACATTCCTCCCCTGGTTCTTGAGGATGCCTTCACCATGTTCTGACAAGGAAGGTCTGTGGTCCAAAGATCAAGCTGACCATCATAAAAAACAGGGCCCTTTGTGTGGGCTGTTCACTCTTGACCGTTTGAGGCTCTTAATCTGAAAGACTTGTTTACTGTTGGAGGAGCTGAGCCGCAGAAGAGTACCATGAATTTTTACGTATAGATAGAAATAAAGCCAGGAAAGTTCCTATCACAGAGGGAAAAGGCAATAGGTCTGAGTAGCACTGGGCCAGAAGCCAGGAGACCTGGGACTCGTCCTGACCCCTTTTGTTAACTTTCCGTGTGATTTCAGACAGGTAGCTTCTCTTCAAGCCTCAGTCTTTCATCTTTAAAACAAGGGTATTGGGATTCAGCAGTTCTCATCCTGGGATGCACCTCAGAAACCTCTACTGATACATATATGCCAAAAACAGGGCGGGATGCAAGCATGTATATTTTTTAAAATCCCACAGAAATTCTAATGAATACTCCTAGCTAAGACCAATAGAATAGACAAGTTCAAAGGTCTCTTCCAGCTCTAACACTCTAGAAGTCTAACTCCCAATTTCCAGCCTCTTCTTTCCTCTATGCTGTTGCCAAATTAATCTTACTAAAGTAGTAATCGTACTAAAGCAGTAGCAGTGACAGAAGGCAAGGCAAATCTAAGAAACCTAGAGTGTTATTCACTATGTGGGAAAATGAGAATGATTCTAAAGTTTCAAGCCTAGGAACCGGGGTTTATGATCACAATTGACAATCTACAGACACAGAAAAACTGGAAAGGAGAACCAGTGTGGAAGAAGATGAGGAACTGGGCATGGAGGACATTTTGTTTTCTTGAGTTTACCACCAGCATCCAAGCCTTCTTCCTTCTGAGGGAAAAATTCCCCTATTCTATGTAGTATTGATGAGACTAGGGAAGCCAAAGCTGGAGATATTTTCCCTGCCGCCTACCAGCTAAGACAAAGCCTATCACCTGGCCACTCTTCTCTGAACTATGAATCGTCATGCAGTGACACAAACACACAGAGGCAGTTTTAGAAATTATTTATGGCAGCAGAGACAGTAGGTATCCAACAGCAGTGTGTCCCTGGTAAAACAGGGGGAGGTGTCCCTACTATGGTGATGATGGCCATGCCAGATTGTTCCTGAGGCACAGACTTGGTGCCTGGCCTTCCTAGGTTACAGCACATTTTCCACCCCTGACTCTCTAGCTTTCCTGTCAACTCTTTGTATCCTTTCAGTAAATTCTTTTTTTTTTTTGCCTTAAATTACTCACAGTTTCTGTTTGCATTGAAGTACTCTCACCAAGACATTGGTTTGTTGATTCTGAAGTGTCACCTGAAAATGGTTTTCAAGGGTGCTTTGTAAATCATAAAATGATACAAGAAGCTTAGGCTAACAGCCTAGAATAGAACAGAGCCCAAGTTGCAGGTGTTGCTTTTGTTCTAAGCCCCCACCTGTACAACAGATCACCAGGGAAAGGGACTCACAGACTCACTTTAACGCAGACATCAAGGATGTCAACTGGAACAGATAGCAGTGCAGCCACACTTACCCATGCTTCCTCCCCAGCTGCTTTTGATGCTGCTATTCCTGCCATGGTGGCACAGTGATTAAGGGTTTGGCTGCTAAGCAAAAGGCTGGCAGTTCAAATCCACTGGTCGCTCCTTGGAAACCCTATGGGGCAGTTCTACTCTGTCCTATAGGGTCACTGTGAGTCGGAATCCACTTGACGGCAACAGGTTTCTGGTTTTTATTCCTGCCGTGCTGTCTGAGAATTACATTGTTTCCATCCTTCTCACAGTGCGTCTACTCCAATAGCTCTCCATGGTTCCATACCACCACTAACCCTCCATCACTCCTTATCAGATCACTGCAAACCTTCCCTCTTTCCTCCAGCTGGTGCCTCCAGATCTCCCTGCTGGACTGAAAGACTCAGATATAAGGGAAGGCCATTCAGTCCAGTTTCAGGTGGAGACAAGACTATTTCTCCCTGTAGCCCCTAAACCCCTTCTTGCCACCCCAGAGGCTGAGGCCATCCTAAGACTGTACACATCTAGGAAGGAAAAGGATCAGTCCCTCAGAACACACCAGATCCACCTCTCTTTTACCCTTCTCATCTCTTTGGGTAGCATCTTATTCCTGTACCCTTCTCCACTCAAGCCAGATTTCCTCTAGAGATTTGACCCCTTCCCTTTTGCTTTGAAGATTCTTGTTACATTCTTACTATCATTCATCTTCAGTTCCTCCCTTTTGTTTCGTATAAAGAAGTAGCCTTTTTTGCAAAGCCAACCTCTCTACCTGTGTTTCTCATATCTTTCTGGCCTCCTCCAGACCCTTCCAAACATTCTACAAATTTAAATAAGACTTAGCCCTTGCTCTCCTCAAGTCGACGACCTAAGGAACAGACGAAAGTAGATATGAATAATAATAACAGAATTAGAAGTGCTAGAACTGAAATACATACAGAGTGCAATGGAAGCAGAGAGCACAGGGGCGGTGGGGTTGGGGAAGGTTTCACAGAGGAGGGGACACTTGAGCTCCATTTTAAAGGATGAGGAGGAGTTCACTAGCTAGAGAAAGGGAAGGCATTCCAGGCAGAGGAAAAACAAGAGCAGAAGCACAAAGACATAAAGGTACGGGATCTATGTGGGACTGATAAGGAATTTGATGTGACTAGAACATTGGTGGTGCAGTGGTTAAGAGCTTGGCTGCTAACCAAAAGGTTGGTAGTTCAAATTCACCAGCCACTCCTTGGAAACCCTATGGAGCAGTTCTCCTCTGTCCTATAGGGTAGCTATGAGTCGGAATCAACTCAATGGCAACAACAGGGTTTTACAGGTAGAGCATTGGGTTGGAGATGAGGCTAGAAAATTGGAGGAGAAAAGGAAATAGAATGTATTGAGTAACTACCATGTGCCAGGCATCATGCTAAGTGATAATATACCTTATCTCATTTAAATCTAAAGTAACCCTGTGAGATAGGCATATTATTATCTCTGTTTTACAGAGGAATAAACCTAGGATCTTGGGGGATCCTAGAAAGACTTAATATTTGGACCAAGGAAATGTTACATATGGATTTGTACTTTATAAAGATAACTCTTGATCCTAAAGTTATCAGTGAGGAATTAAAAGAAACTAAGCAGACTTCATCCTACCCCTACTGAGTTGAGGTATCATTGCAGAAAGTATAGGAAAGCTAGCATTCATTCATTCAATAAATATTTATCGAGCATCTACTATGTGGCAGGGACTAATCTAGGTGCTGAAGAC